AATAGCGAACCGCTGGACCGATTGTAACCAAACCTGGTACGTATCCTTAAGGCCCCAGGGGAGAGACATGGGATTCGGAGTTTGGATCTGACCTATCTATGTCACTCTCGGAAGCCCTGTGCCCGCTTATAACTAGCGAACCGCTGGACCGATTGTAACCAAACCTGGCACATACCCTTAAGGCTCTCGTGGAAGTGACATGGGGGGTGGGGAGTGAAATATACTTTTAACCTAAATTCCTACGATGCTAGATTGGATTGGATTTGGATTTTACCCACCCACCCCGTCAGCTAGTACTTATGTATAGAAAGTACGTTACAAAATGACCGTCTACCTATTATGTTACCAGCTGTAAAAAAAAAACAAAAAAACAATAACCCTAACCACGTCTACCACGAGAGCTGTCATCTAAGTAAAATATACCTACTTAACCTTCCGTCTACCAGCTATGTTATTAACCTGTGGACAAGATCCCATCTATTGTGTATGTGTGTTATAAGCTGAATAAAAATAGCAGTTTAACCCTGATATCTAGTAGGTTTTAATATAAAGTAACAGTTTAACCCTGATATCTAGTAGGTTTTAATATAAGGTAACAGTTTAACCTTGATAGCTTGTAAGTTTAATATAAATTAACAGTTTAACCATGATATCTAGTAGGTTTAATATAAATTAACAGTTTAACCATGATATCTAGTAGGTTTAATATAAAGTAACAGTTTAACCCTGATATCTAGTAGGTTTAATATAAAGTAACAGTTTAACCCTGATATCTTGTAAGTTTAATATAAATTAACAGTTTAACCATGATATCTAGTAGTTTAATATAAATTAACAGTTTAACCTGATATCTAGTAGGTTTAATATAAATTAACAGTTTAACCCTGATATCTAGTAGGTTTAATATAAAGTAACAGTTTAACCCTGATATCTAGTAGGTTTAATATAAAGTAACAGTTTAACCATGATATCTAGTAGATTTAATATAAAATAACAGTTTAACCCTGATATCTAGTAAGTTTAATATAAATTAACAGTTTAACCCTGATACCTAGTAAGTTTAATATAAATTAACAGTTTAACCCTGATACCTAGTAAGTTAGATAAAAGTTTTTTTTTTGTAATTGTTAGCACATGTATGAAAACAACAACAACAACAAATCAAATAACCTTTAAAATGGAAATTGTGGAGAAGCAAACAAAACAAAGATGTTACAGTGTCAATAGTTCTTGAACGAAAATATAACAGAGTTATTAAGACTACAGCCATATATATGTTTTTCGTCAGCTGAGATATGACAGGAGAGGAAACATATATATATTTATAATACTTGTGGGTCTGAAAAATACTCTCGTCTTCAGTGCTTCGTAAGCCTAATAACTGGTCACTATCAAATTTGTAGCTTATATCTGAAACTTTAAACTTGTTAGATTTGAACAAATCGTGTCTTAAACTCCATAAGCTGGCTTGTTCAGATCGAACATCACTCACAGAACTGGTAAAAGAGCCATCATCTAATTACTGTAGAAAAAAATTGGCCTTTCCCTCTCCTCCTCCTTGAGATAGGGATGTAAAAAAAAATGTTTGTGTTATTATTATTGCTGTTTCTTATTAGCGCAAAGCTACACAATGACCTCTCCGCACTCTGTACACCGAAGGGAATCGAACCTCGAATTTTAGTGTTGTAAATTCGTAAACTTATTGCTGATCCAACGGAGGACCATAAACAAAAAATAACAAGTTACGTAATTATTATATGTTTCAACTTCTGACTAAATGCAAGATAAACTCTATAGATCAGAGCTAAGAAAATAATTTAGAAATACGTAACGTCAGAACTCAATACAAAAGAGAACTAGAAGCCTATAATGAGTAGAGTACACTAATCCATCAGTTGGATACTTTTACCATTAGCGAAATTTTCAGTCGTAAATGGATTCGGTCAACTGCGGAGACTTTATTGTCACCTGCGTTTATCGGGATCCTCTCCACCACTGCAGCTCCATCTACATGCTTTCGATCGGTGGGTTGGCACCCTTCACTCTAGGTCAGGGGTTCCCAAACTTTGCCCACCGGCGGACCCACTTCAACTTGTTTACTGTGTTGGCGGACCACCTCCCGTTCAAAATAGTTTTTATCATGTGTAACTGGTGTATCATATGTGTATTTTACCACCATTACACCTTGATTCTAGTTTTAAGAAAAGAACAATAAAAAAAAGAGATTTAAATATAGAAAATTAAAAACAAAAAATCTTACGACTTACTTTAATGTGAAGGATGACACTGCTTTGCTGAAAGAATCTTGCAAATTTCTGGCTCCACACTTAACTTACTTCGACTTTATATAAACAAGTTGAGAGAAACCTCGCATTTTATTTTATTTGTTACTCTTTCGGTAAATGGTTATTTCATACATTTGATGTATTACTGCGGACCACCTTAAGTACAATCGCCGATCCTCGGGGGGCCGCGGACCATAGTTTGGGAACCTTCTCTCTAGGTGATTCATTACTCGTATTTTTTTACAAGTTGCGGAATTTAAGTTGGGCACAAGTTCTTTTAAAACTGTAACTTAATAGCCAGAATATGCTGGTATACGGATGGTGTTGTCATTATTTACGGTAGCAACAGTATGGGTTATGTGCAGTTCTTCCAGCACCTTTATAAACACAAATTCGAATGCGTTGTTTTCATAGCACGAGTCACGAAAAGCATGCAGACTTTCGGAAAGGAACCGGTTATCTGTTTTACCTAAATTGAGATATACGAGGTAAAGATCAGAAAATATACAGACCTTTTACATCGCATGCTTCTCCGTAGTCATTTTCTCCCGCCAAACCTCACGAGAATACGACCGTAGGTTCTTTTCAAGTGCTTCAGGGAATTCCATGGATTCGTGGGTAAGAACGCGCATACCTCATCGCATAGTCGCGTTTCTATGCAGAACACGTGCTCTCGATCCCATCACCGCTCAATTTGTTTTCAATTTGGTGAAGGAATCGTAGCGTGAGACAATCGCGTTGTTCAAGCTTTCCGTACAGTATCTGGTAGAAATGGAAATGGCCGCAGTCCTTCAGGACAGTACCAAATTCACAAGTATTTCCTTATCAGGCCGAAAAATTAGGGGGTCTTGACCGGCGAATCCACAAAACAATGTACAAGTACAAAATAAAAATAGTTTGTTTTGGAATTTCGCGCAAAGCTACACGAGGGCTATCTGCGCTAGCC